ATTTTCAACTTTTATAGAAATAGCAGAAAACTTTGCATCATAACCCTAGAGGGAACTCATGGGGTTACATCGACGGAACATCGGAATATGCGGTGCAAGATGGCACATCCTGATATCAAGAAAACATTGAATAGAACCATCCCGCTGATGAAGATCATGACCAAGAATGCTTCATACCGTGGATGGTTGCGAAACCCTGCACCACCTTGGATGGTTCAAACATGTCGAAACCCTCTAAATAATGGGAAATAATGGGATATAATGGGATAAACTACATCCCAAAAACTGGTGCAGGATTTTGCAATCATCCACAGTAACTTTTGTAGGAAACAACCAGCCGTACCCAACACCTGTCCCATGGGTCCTGACTCACCTCTCCATCGTGGACCACGTCGCGGTGGGGCGGAGCTCCTGTCGCTGGGGCGCGCCAAATAAGACTTCGAAGTAGCACTGAAGAGTGGCAAGATTCAAATGATTTGAAGTTACTTTTTTTTCATAAAGTCAGATGTATGGTATATCTGTAAATGTATATACATATATATATATATAGTCATGGATAAAGTGGATTTTTATCCCGGGCCATCATAAAAAGATAGCTCTCAGAGGTCCATCCCCGAGAACTGGATGTAAAAGCCCGGCTGGACCATGGGGACCATGGCTGGCACGTGTCTTGGATCATAATGACAATTATATAGGTGGATAGTAAACCAATGTCATAGATGTCATAGTAGTGAAGCAATATCATCCACCATCTCCAAATTTACCATGTCTATGGGTGGGATTCCAACCGTGAATCCATATTACTAACATCAAAACATATCAAGAGACTGCAAAAAAAGGCACCAGGATGGGAGCAGCCCAGTAACTTGCGGGCCTCCAACCACTGCATGGCTGAGAACCTGGCAAAACTGAGTTTCACCTAGATTTAACTGGCGACCTCATGATCACCAAGCTGGGGACTGCCAAAGCAACAAAAATCACATGTTTGAAGCTGCAAAAAACTGGGGTTGAACCTCGAAAATGTTGGAGTGGTTCAACAAGAATGGGGGTCTGATAAGTCTGTACCCTCTGGTAATGGCTGACATAGCTATTCAAAATTGCAATTTATAGTTGGGTAACCAACAAGAATGGTTAATTGTTCATCAAAAATGCCGGTGGAGCTGATAGATGGATTTTGCGTCAGTCTCTCTCTCTCTCTCTGTTTTTTGTTCCTGCGACATAAGCGGTGGCTTGAATCCCACCAGTTGAGGCCGGTTGTCCGGCACACGCAGCTTGAAGTGTTAAATCTGGAAAATCGCTTGGCCACGAAAAGAAAACTCTTACAATATCTTACAATCCGACCTAGCTGCATCTAGCTGCATCTAGCGGCATCTAGCTGCATCTAGCTAGCTTACGCCTTGGCATCCTCAGCAGCCATGTGCTTGATCAGGTCCACCACACGGGAGGAGTAGCCCCACTCGTTGTCATACCAGCACACAACCTTCACGAAGGTAGGATCCAACATGATGCCGGCCTTGGCATCGAAGGTGCAGGAGATTGGGCAGGTCTCGAAGTCAGTGGACACCAATGCCTCGTCGGTGTAGCCAAGGAAGCCCTTCATGTCACCCTCAGATCGCTTCTTCATCTCAGCGCAAATCTCCTCGTAGGTGGTCTCCTGCTCCAACTCAACGGTGAGATCCACAACGGACACATCAATGGTTGGCACACGCAGGGCCATGCCGGTCAGCTTGCCCTTCACTTCAGGGATCACCTTGGCCACAGCCTTGGCAGCTCCCGTGGAGGATGGGATGATGTTTCCAGGGCCAGCACGGCCACCGCGCCAGTCCTTCTTGGAGGTGCCATCCACAGTGGGCTGAGATGCAGTCATGGCATGGCAGGTGGTCATGAGACCACGCTTGATGCCCCACTTCTCTTGCAGCACACGCACAGCTGGGGCCAAGCCGTTGGTGGTGCAGGAGGCGCAGGACACGCACTCCATGGATGGCTCGTAGGTGTCCTCGTTCACGCCCATCACAATGGTGTGAGAGTCATCCTTGGCAGGAGCAGAGAAGATCACCTTCTTTGCACCAGCCTTCAAGTGACCCTGAACCTTCTCAGTGGTCAGGAACACACCAGTGGATTCGCAAACATACTCTGCACCATGCTCACCAAAAGGGATCTCAGCTGGGTCACGGGTGTGGGACAAAGCAATCTTCTGGCCATCAACCACCAGGGAGTCGCCATCTGCCTCCACGGTTCCATCATACTTGCCGTGGATAGTGTCATATTTCATCATGTAGGCCAGGTAGTCAGAGTCATAGCTGGCGTTGATCAACTTCAGATCAGTCTCTGGGTCCTTCATGGCAATGCGGGCCACCTGACGGCCAATGCGGCCGAAGCCGTTGATTCCAACACCCACAGCCTGCATGGAAGTGCGGTTCTTGCCTGCACGCCTGCCAGCAACACCAGCCACAGCCAGGCCAGCCACTGCACCCACACCAGCCATGGCACCCATGGACTGGGAAGATTGGGAGGACTTGGCATAGCCGGAAGAACGGAGACCGGTCCTGGCCTCCTGTGCAACTGGGCCACTTGCAACAAAGGCGCTGCTCAGGGCAGTGGTGGCCACGGCACCGCTGACGAGCATAGCCACGTTCTCCACAGTGGAAGGCATGGTTTCTAAAGGAAAAAGCGAGAAGAGTTTCAAAACTGAGCCAAGCACTTTGAGAAAAGACAGCACAAGCTCAGTCATGTGAGTATGTCCCAAAATGGGGGGTGTATCCTGAAGCAACTGATCGATCATCCCGTTGAATGGTCACCCCAGCAGCATCTCATGGTTCAAAACCACATGTTCGCCAATAACATTGGCTCATTCATTGGGGCCCATCCCTTGTCTTCTAATCATGTTCCATCTTGAAATTGAGCCAGTGTGGCCAAAGTTGTTGAACAAGGCGCCTTGATTTTGTGCAATATTTATAGACAACACATGGAGGAAAATATTATGGGTGTGTCTGAAGATTATAATGGGATATGTGACCAACTTGATATGATTTGGGTGTGTGTTATGTCGCATGCCCCAAATAGCCATAGTCTATAGTGATAATGCACCAGTGGACTCTGCTATCATTTTCTACTGCGACATAAGCGTGGCGTGAATCCCACCAGTTGAGGCCGGTTGTCCGGCACACGCAGCTTGAAGTGTTAAATCTGGAAAATCGCTTGGCTACGAAAAGAAAACTCTTACAATATCTTACAATCCGACCTAGCTGCATCTAGCTGCATCTAGCGGCATCTAGTTGCATCTAGCTAGCTTAGGCCTTGGCATCCTCAGCAGCCATATGCTTGATCAGGTCCACCACACGGGAGGAGTAGCCCCACTCATTGTCATACCAGCACACAACCTTCACGAAGGTAGGATCCAACATGATGCCGGCCTTGGCATCGAAGGTGCAGGAGATTGGGCAGGTCTCGAAGTCAGTGGACACCAATGCCTCGTCGGTGTAGCCAAGGAAGCCCTTCATGTCACCCTCAGATCGCTTCTTCATCTCAGCGCAAATCTCCTCGTAGGTGGTCTCCTGCTCCAACTCAACGGTGAGATCCACAACGGACACATCAATGGTTGGCACACGCAGGGCCATGCCGGTCAGCTTGCCCTTCACTTCAGGGATCACCTTGGCAACAGCCTTGGCAGCACCCGTGGAGGATGGGATGATGTTTCCAGGGCCAGCACGGCCACCACGCCAGTCCTTCTTGGAGGTGCCATCCACAGTGGGCTGAGATGCAGTCATGGCATGGCAGGTGGTCATGAGACCACGCTTGATGCCCCACTTCTCTTGCAGCACACGCACAGCTGGGGCCAAGCCGTTGGTGGTGCAGGAGGCGCAGGACACGCACTCCATGGATGGCTCGTAGGTGTCCTCGTTACGCCCATCACAATGGTGTGAGAGTCATCCTTGGCAGGAGCAGAGAAGATCACCTTCTTTGCGCCAGCCTTCAAGTGGCCCTGAACCTTCTCAGTTGTCAGGAACACACCAGTGGATTCGCACACATACTCTGCACCATGCTCACCAAAAGGGATCTCAGCTGGGTCACGGGTGTGGGACAAAGCAATCTTCTGGCCATCAACCACCAGGGAGTCGCCATCTGCCTCCACGGTTCCATCATACTTGCCGTGGATAGTGTCATATTTCATCATGTAGGCCAGGTAGTCAGAGTCATAGCTGGCGTTGATCAACTTCAGCTCAGTCTCTGGGTCCTTCATGGCAATGCGGGCCACCTGACGGCCAATGCGGCCGAAGCCGTTGATTCCAACACCCACAGCCTGCATGGAAGTGCGGTTCTTGCCTGCACGCCTGCCAGCAACACCAGCCACAGCCAGGCCAGCCACTGCACCCACACCAGCCATGGCACCCATGGACTGGGAAGATTGGGAGGACTTGGCATAGCCGGAAGAACGGAGACCAGTCCTGGCCTCCTGTGCAACTGGGCCACTTGCAACAAAGGCGCTGCTCAGGGCAGTGGTGGCCACGGCACCGCTGACGAGCATAGCCACGTTCTCCACAGTGGAAGGCATGGTTTCTAAAGGAAAAAGCGAGAAGAGTTTCAAAACTGAGCCAAGCACTTCGTCAGAGAAAAAAATCCGGCCATTCCTCCCAGAGTGAAAGGTCCAACAATTTTCTCGCCATGCAATTGTATCTATTTATTATGTATGTATATATCCATATATATATATATGTGTATGTAAGATGTATATATATATATGTATGTAAGATATGTATAATATGTATAATATGTATATTTTATGTACATATGTAATTTTGTATACTTGCTGAGCCAATGTGGAGCATCTCTGCCGGTTCTGTTTAAAATGTCTCTACCAAATCAAGATCTTGCGAGCAAATTTGATCTAACATGATCTAACGAGGTAAACCCAATAATACGCCAGACCCACTTGGGGTTCATTAAAAAAAGGTATGATGTGAAGTGAACCTCAAATAGTTGATATTGGGGACTGTTTATGATTGCGTTTCCCACATCTACTGTGCATCTGCGTATTGAAATCTCTGTGCCTGCAGGTCATCAAAGCAATGTTGCTGCTCAGTGCTGCATTTTGTCCCAATAAATCCCTTTCAACACATGAAAATGTAAGAGCCGAAAAAAGAAGAAAAAAAAACGTACTATGAGATTTCAATCATGTCTGCTATGTCTTTTGTCTGCAGAGTGGATCAATCCCACCAGTTGAGGCCGGTTGTCCGGCACACGCAGCTTGAAGTGTTAAATCTGGAAAATCGCTTGGCTACGAAAAGAAAACTCTTACAATATCTTACAATCCGACCTAGCTGCATCTAGCTGCATCTAGCTGCATCTAGCTGCATCTAGCTAGCTTAGGCCTTGGCATCCTCAGCAGCCATGTGCTTGATCAGGTCCACCACACGGGAGGAGTAGCCCCACTCGTTGTCATACCAGCACACAACCTTCACGAAGGTAGGGTCCAACATGATGCCGGCCTTGGCATCGAAGGTGCAGGAGATTGGGCAGGTCTCGAAGTCAGTGGACACCAATGCCTCGTCGGTGTAGCCAAGGAAGCCCTTCATGTCACCCTCAGATCGCTTCTTCATCTCAGCGCAAATCTCCTCGTAGGTGGTCTCCTGCTCCAACTCAACGGTGAGATCCACAACGGACACATCAATGGTTGGCACACGCAGGGCCATGCCGGTCAGCTTGCCCTTCACTTCAGGGATCACCTTGGCCACAGCCTTGGCAGCACCCGTGGAGGATGGGATGATGTTTCCAGGGCCAGCACGGCCACCACGCCAGTCCTTCTTGGAGGTGCCATCCACAGTGGGCTGAGATGCAGTCATAGCATGGCAGGTGGTCATGAGACCACGCTTGATGCCCCACTTCTCCTGCAGCACACGCACAGCTGGGGCCAAGCCGTTGGTGGTGCAGGAGGCGCAGGACACGCACTCCATGGATGGCTCGTAGGTGTCCTCGTTCACGCCCATCACAATGGTGTGAGAGTCATCCTTGGCAGGAGCAGAGAAGATCACCTTCTTTGCGCCAGCCTTCAAGTGACCCTGAACCTTCTCAGTGGTCAGGAACACACCAGTGGATTCGCACACATACTCTGCACCATGCTCACCAAAAGGGATCTCAGCTGGGTCACGGGTGTGGGACAAAGCAATCTTCTGGCCATCAACCACCAGGGAGTCGCCATCTGCCTCCACGGTTCCATCATACTTGCCGTGGATAGTGTCATATTTCATCATGTAGGCCAGGTAGTCAGAGTCATAGCTGGCGTTGATCAACTTCAGATCAGTCTCTGGGTCCTTCATGGCAATGCGGGCCACCTGACGGCCAATGCGGCCGAAGCCGTTGATTCCAACACCCACAGCCTGCATGGAAGTGCGGTTCTTGCCTGCACGCCTGCCAGCAACACCAGCCACAGCCAGGCCAGCCACTGCACCCACACCAGCCATGGCACCCATGGACTGGGAAGATTGGGAGGACTTGGCATAGCCGGAAGAACGGAGACCGCTCCTGGCCTCCTGTGCAACTGGGCCACTTGCAACAAAGGCGCTGCTCAGGGCAGTGGTGGCCACGGCACCGCTGACGAGCATAGCCACGTTCTCAACAGTGGAAGGCATGGTTTCTAAAGGGAAAAGCGAGAAGAGTTTCAAAACTGAGCCAAGCACTTGAGGTATTGAACGACATCTTAAATACAACAAATCACTTGCCAACACAGAATATGCTTCCACTTCATTGCTACCATTTCATTAGATGATCTTTCAGAATCAAAGCATCTGCTCGGGTGCTTTGGGGAGAAGCGCACAACTCAACAATGCAGTTGATTGAGGGGAGGGGACTCTTTATTTAAGAACAGCACATCCCACCTTCAAATCTTCCTCGTCTTCTGAAACCAAGTTCCATGACACATACAAAACGTTGCAAAAATCAGCCAGTGTTCATCTGTCAAGGATTCTTCATGATTGCTGCAGATATGCAGGAACCTACATGTCAAAGCCCTGTCAACGGTGCTTCCAAAACGATACTCCGGTTTTCGTACAAGAAGAGACCATGAAAATGATTGCAAAAGTGTCTCTGGATTCTTTTTGTGTCTGCGAATAACGACTGAAATCCACTGAGTCGAGGCCGGTTGTCCGGCACACGCAGCTTGAAGTGTTAAATCTGGAAAATCGCTTGGCTACGAAAAGAAAACTCTTACAATATCTTACAATCCGACCTAGCTGCATCTAGCTGCATCTAGCGGCATCTAGCGGCATCTAGCTAGCTTACGCCTTGGCATCCTCAGCAGCCATGTGCTTGATCAGGTCCACCACACGGGAGGAGTAGCCCCACTCGTTGTCATACCAGCACACAACCTTCACGAAGGTAGGATCCAACATGATGCCGGCCTTGGCATCGAAGGTGCAGGAGATTGGGCAGGTCTCGAAGTCAGTGGACACCAATGCCTCGTCGGTGTAGCCAAGGAAGCCCTTCATGTCACCCTCAGATCGCTTCTTCATCTCAGCGCAAATCTCCTCGTAGGTGGTCTCCTGCTCCAACTCAACGGTGAGATCCACAACGGACACATCAATGGTTGGCACACGCAGGGCCATGCCGGTCAGCTTGCCCTTCACTTCAGGGATCACCTTGGCCACAGCCTTGGCAGCACCCGTGGAGGATGGGATGATGTTTCCAGGGCCAGCACGGCCACCACGCCAGTCCTTCTTGGAGGTGCCATCCACAGTGGGCTGAGATGCAGTCATGGCATGGCAGGTGGTCATGAGACCACGCTTGATGCCCCACTTCTCCTGCAGCACACGCACAGCTGGGGCCAAGCCGTTGGTGGTGCAGGAGGCGCAGGACACGCACTCCATGGATGGCTCGTAGGTGTCCTCGTTCACGCCCATCACAATGGTGTGAGAGTCATCCTTGGCAGGAGCAGAGAAGATCACCTTCTTTGCGCCAGCCTTCAAGTGGCCCTGAACCTTCTCAGTGGTCAGGAACACACCCGTGGATTCGCACACATACTCTGCACCATGCTCACCAAAAGGGATCTCAGCTGGGTCACGGGTGTGGGACAAAGCAATCTTCTGGCCATCAACCACCAGGGAGTCGCCATCTGCCTCCACGGTTCCATCATACTTGCCGTGGATAGTGTCATATTTCATCATGTAGGCCAGGTAGTCAGAGTCATAGCTGGCGTTGATCAACTTCAGATCAGTCTCTGGGTCCTTCATGGCAATGCGGGCCACCTGACGGCCAATGCGGCCGAAGCCGTTGATTCCAACACCCACAGCCTGCATGGAAGTGCGGTTCTTGCCTGCACGCCTGCCAGCAACACCAGCCACAGCCAGGCCAGCCACTGCACCCACACCAGCCATGGCACCCATGGACTGGGAAGATTGGGAGGACTTGGCATAGCCGGAAGAACGGAGACCAGTCCTGGCCTCCTGTGCAACTGGGCCACTTGCAACAAAGGCGCTGCTCAGGGCAGTGGTGGCCACGGCACCGCTGACGAGCATAGCCACGTTCTCCACAGTGGAAGGCATGGTTTCTAAAGGGAAAAGAGAAGAGTTTCAAAACTGAGCCAAGCACTTCGCCAGAGAAAAAATCCGGCCATTCCTCCCAGAGTGAAACGGTCCAACAATTTTCTCGCCATGCAATTGTATCTATCTATCTATCTATCTATATATATATATTATTTATAATATGTATATTTTGTGTACATATGTAATTTTGTATGAGCATCTCTGACGGTTCTGCTTAAAATGTGTCTACCAAATCAAGATCTTGCGAGCAAATTGGATCTAACATGATCTAACGAGGTAAACCCAATAATACGCCATCCCCACTTGGGGTTCATTTAAAAAAATTGTATGATGTGAAGTGAACCTCAAATGGTTGATATTGGGGACTGTTTATGATTGCGTTTCCCACATCTACCAGTACTGTGCATCTGCGTATCGAAATCTCTGTGCCTGCAGGTCATCAAAAGCAATGTTGCTGCTCAGTGCTGCATTTTGTCCCAATAGATCCCTTTCAACACATGAAAATGTAAGAGCCGAAAAAAGAAAAAAAACGTACTATGAGATTTCAATCATGTCTGCTATGTCTTTTGTCTGCAGAGTGGATCAATCCCACCAGTTGAGGCCGGTTGTCCGGCACACGCAGCTTGAAGTGTTAAATCTGGAAAATCGCTTGGCTACGAAAAGAAAACTCTTACAATATCTTACAATCCGACCTAGCTGCATCTAGCTGCATCTAGCGGCATCTAGCGGCATCTAGCTAGCTTACGCCTTGGCATCCTCAGCAGCCATGTGCTTGATCAGGTCCACCACACGGGAGGAGTAGCCCCACTCGTTGTCATACCAGCACACAACCTTCACGAAGGTAGGATCCAACATGATGCCGGCCTTGGCATCGAAGGTGCAGGAGATTGGGCAGGTCTCGAAGTCAGTGGACACCAATGCCTCGTCGGTGTAGCCAAGGAAGCCCTTCATGTCACCCTCAGATCGCTTCTTCATCTCAGCGCAAATCTCCTCGTAGGTGGTCTCCTGCTCCAACTCAACGGTGAGATCCACAACGGACACATCAATGGTTGGCACACGCAGGGCCATGCCGGTCAGCTTGCCCTTCACTTCAGGGATCACCTTGGCCACAGCCTTGGCAGCACCCGTGGAGGATGGGATGATGTTTCCAGGGCCAGCACGGCCACCACGCCAGTCCTTCTTGGAGGTGCCATCCACAGTGGGCTGAGATGCAGTCATAGCATGGCAGGTGGTCATGAGACCACGCTTGATGCCCCACTTCTCCTGCAGCACACGCACAGCTGGGGCCAAGCCGTTGGTGGTGCAGGAGGCGCAGGACACGCACTCCATGGATGGCTCGTAGGTGTCCTCGTTCACGCCCATCACAATGGTGTGAGAGTCATCCTTGGCAGGAGCAGAGAAGATCACCTTCTTTGCGCCAGCCTTCAAGTGGCCCTGAACCTTCTCAGTGGTCAGGAACACACCAGTGGATTCGCACACATACTCTGCACCATGCTCACCAAAAGGGATCTCAGCTGGGTCACGGGTGTGGGACAAAGCAATCTTCTGGCCATCAACCACCAGGGAGTCGCCATCTGCCTCCACGGTTCCATCATACTTGCCGTGGATAGTGTCATATTTCATCATGTAGGCCAGGTAGTCAGAGTCATAGCTGGCGTTGATCAACTTCAGATCAGTCTCTGGGTCCTTCATGGCAATGCGGGCCACCTGACGGCCAATGCGGCCGAAGCCGTTGATTCCAACACCCACAGCCTGCATGGAAGTGCGGTTCTTGCCTGCACGCCTGCCAGCAACACCAGCCACAGCCAGGCCAGCCACTGCACCCACACCAGCCATGGCACCCATGGACTGGGAAGATTGGGAGGACTTGGCATAGCCGGAAGAACGGAGACCAGTCCTGGCCTCCTGTGCAACTGGGCCACTTGCAACAAAGGCGCTGCTCAGGGCAGTGGTGGCCACGGCACCGCTGACGAGCATAGCCACGTTCTCCACAGTGGAAGGCATGGTTTTTAAAGGGTAAAGCGAGAAGAGTTTCAAAACTGAGCCAAGCACTTGAGGGTATTGAACGACATCTTAAATACAACAAATCACTTGCCAACACAGAATATGCTTCCACTTCATTGCTACCATTTCATTAGATGATCTTTCAGAATCAAAGCATCTGCTCGGGTGCTTTGGGGAGAAGCGCACAACTCAACAATGCAGTTGATTGAGGGGAGGGGACTCTTTATTTAAGAACAGCACATCCCACCTTCAAATCTTCCTCGTCTTCTGAAACCAAGTTCCATGACACATACAAAACGTTGCAAAAATCAGCCAGTGTTCATCTGTCAAGGATTCTTCATGATTGCTGCAGATATGCAGGAACCTACATGTCAAAGCCCTGTCAACGCTGCTTCCAAAAAGATACTCCGGTTTTCGTACAAGAAGAGACCATGAAAATGATTGCAAAAGTGTCTCTGGATTCTTTTTGTGTCTGCGAATAACGACTGAAATCCACTGAGTCGAGGCCGGTTGTCCGGCACACGCAGCTTGAAGTGTTAAATCTGGAAAATCGCTTGGCTACGAAAAGAAAACTCTTACAATATCTTACAATCCGACCTAGCTGCATCTAGCTGCATCTAGCGGCATCTAGCGGCATCTAGCTAGCTTACGCCTTGGCATCCTCAGCAGCCATGTGCTTGATCAGGTCCACCACACGGGAGGAGTAGCCCCACTCGTTGTCATACCAGCACACAACCTTCACGAAGGTAGGATCCAACATGATGCCGGCCTTGGCATCGAAGGTGCAGGAGATTGGGCAGGTCTCGAAGTCAGTGGACACCAATGCCTCGTCGGTGTAGCCAAGGAAGCCCTTCATGTCACCCTCAGATCGCTTCTTCATCTCAGCGCAAATCTCCTCGTAGGTGGTCTCCTGCTCCAACTCAACGGTGAGATCCACAACGGACACATCAATGGTTGGCACACGCAGGGCCATGCCGGTCAGCTTGCCCTTCACTTCAGGGATCACCTTGGCCACAGCCTTGGCAGCACCCGTGGAGGATGGGATGATGTTTCCAGGGCCAGCACGGCCACCACGCCAGTCCTTCTTGGAGGTGCCATCCACAGTGGGCTGAGATGCAGTCATGGCATGGCAGGTGGTCATGAGACCACGCTTGATGCCCCACTTCTCCTGCAGCACACGCACAGCTGGGGCCAAGCCGTTGGTGGTGCAGGAGGCGCAGGACACGCACTCCATGGATGGCTCGTAGGTGTCCTCGTTCACGCCCATCACAATGGTGTGAGAGTCATCCTTGGCAGGAGCAGAGAAGATCACCTTCTTTGCGCCAGCCTTCAAGTGACCCTGAACCTTCTCAGTGGTCAGGAACACACCAGTGGATTCGCAAACATACTCTGCACCATGCTCACCAAAAGGGATCTCAGCTGGGTCACGGGTGTGGGACAAAGCAATCTTCTGGCCATCAACCACCAGGGAGTCGCCATCTGCCTCCACGGTTCCATCATACTTGCCGTGGATAGTGTCATATTTCATCATGTAGGCCAGGTAGTCAGAGTCATAGCTGGCGTTGATCAACTTCAGATCAGTCTCTGGGTCCTTCATGGCAATGCGGGCCACCTGACGGCCAATGCGGCCGAAGCCGTTGATTCCAACACCCACAGCCTGCATGGAAGTGCGGTTCTTGCCTGCACGCCTGCCAGCAACACCAGCCACAGCCAGGCCAGCCACTGCACCCACACCAGCCATGGCACCCATGGACTGGGAAGATTGGGAGGACTTGGCATAGCCGGAAGAACGGAGACCAGTCCTGGCCTCCTGTGCAACTGGGCCACTTGCAACAAAGGCGCTGCTCAGGGCAGTGGTGGCCACGGCACCGCTGACGAGCATAGCCACGTTCTCCACAGTGGAAGGCATGGTTTCTAAAGGGTAAAGCGAGAAGAGTTTCAAAACTGAGCCAAGCACTTGAGGTATTGAACGACATCTTAAATACAACAAATCACTTGCCAACACAGAATATGCTTCCACTTCATTGCTACCATTTCATTAGATGATCTTTCAGAATCAAAGCATCTGCTCGGGTGCTTTGGGGAGAAGCGCACAACTCAACAATGCAGTTGATTGAGGGGAGGGGACTCTTTATTTAAGAACAGCACATCCCACCTTCAAATCTTCCTCGTCTTCTGAAACCAAGTTCCATGACACATACAAAACGTTGCAAAAATCAGCCAGTGTTCATCTGTCAAGGATTCTTCATGATTGCTGCAGATATGCAGGAACCTACATGTCAAAGCCCTGTCAACGGTGCTTCCAAAACGATACTCCGGTTTTCGTACAAGAAGAGACCATGAAAATGATTGCAAAAGTGTCTCTGGATTCTTTTTGTGTCTGCGAATAACGACTGAAATCCACTGAGTCGAGGCCGGTTGTCCGGCACACGCAGCTTGAAGTGTTAAATCTGGAAAATCGCTTGGCTACGAAAAGAAAACTCTTACAATATCTTACAATCCGACCTAGCTGCATCTAGCTGCATCTAGCGGCATCTAGCGGCATCTAGCTAGCTTACGCCTTGGCATCCTCAGCAGCCATGTGCTTGATCAGGTCCACCACACGGGAGGAGTAGCCCCACTCGTTGTCATACCAGCACACAACCTTCACGAAGGTAGGATCCAACATGATGCCGGCCTTGGCATCGAAGGTGCAGGAGATTGGGCAGGTCTCGAAGTCAGTGGACACCAATGCCTCGTCGGTGTAGCCAAGGAAGCCCTTCATGTCACCCTCAGATCGCTTCTTCATCTCAGCGCAAATCTCCTCGTAGGTGGTCTCCTGCTCCAACTCAACGGTGAGATCCACAACGGACACATCAATGGTTGGCACACGCAGGGCCATGCCGGTCAGCTTGCCCTTCACTTCAGGGATCACCTTGGCCACAGCCTTGGCAGCACCCGTGGAGGATGGGATGATGTTTCCAGGGCCAGCACGGCCACCACGCCAGTCCTTCTTGGAGGTGCCATCCACAGTGGGCTGAGATGCAGTCATGGCATGGCAGGTGGTCATGAGACCACGCTTGATGCCCCACTTCTCCTGCAGCACACGCACAGCTGGGGCCAAGCCGTTGGTGGTGCAGGAGGCGCAGGACACGCACTCCATGGATGGCTCGTAGGTGTCCTCGTTCACGCCCATCACAATGGTGTGAGAGTCATCCTTGGCAGGAGCAGAGAAGATCACCTTCTTTGCGCCAGCCTTCAAGTGGCCCTGAACCTTCTCAGTGGTCAGGAACACACCAGTGGATTCGCAAACATACTCTGCACCATGCTCACCAAAAGGGATCTCAGCTGGGTCACGGGTGTGGGACAAAGCAATCTTCTGGCCATCAACCACCAGGGAGTCGCCATCTGCCTCCACGGTTCCATCATACTTGCCGTGGATAGTGTCATATTTCATCATGTAGGCCAGGTAGTCAGAGTCATAGCTGGCGTTGATCAACTTCAGATCAGTCTCTGGGTCCTTCATGGCAATGCGGGCCACCTGACGGCCAATGCGGCCGAAGCCGTTGATTCCAACACCCACAGCCTGCATGGAAGTGCGGTTCTTGCCTGCACGCCTGCCAGCAACACCAGCCACAGCCAGGCCAGCCACTGCACCCACACCAGCCATGGCACCCATGGACTGGGAAGATTGGGAGGACTTGGCATAGCCGGAAGAACGGAGACCGCTCCTGGCCTCCTGTGCAACTGGGCCACTTGCAACAAAGGCGCTGCTCAGGGCAGTGGTGGCCACGGCACCGCTGACGAGCATAGCCACGTTCTCAACAGTGGAAGGCATGGTTTCTAAAGGGAAAAGCGAGAAGAGTTTCAAAACTGAGCCAAGCACTTGAGGGTATTGAACGACATCTTAAATACAACAAATCACTTGCCAACACAAAAATATGCTTCCACTTCATTGCTACCATTTCATTAGATGATCTTTCAGAATCAAAGCATCTGCTCGGGTGCTTTGGGGAGAAGCGCACACCTCAACAATGCAGTTGATTGAGGGGAGGGGACTCTTTATTTAAGAACAGCACATCCCACCTTCAAATCTTCCTCGTCTTCTGAAACCAAGTTCCATGACACATACAAAACGTTGCAAAAATCAGCCAGTGTTCATCTGTCAAGGATTCTTCATGATTGCTGCAGATATGCAGGAACCTACATGTCAAAGCCCTGTCAACGGTGCTTCCAAAACGATACTCCGGTTTTCGTACAAGAAGAGACCATGAAAATGATTGCAAAAGTGTCTCTGGATTCTTTTTGTGTCTGCGAATAACGACTGAAATCCACTGAGTCGAGGCCGGTTGTCCGGCACACGCAGCTTGAAGTGTTAAATCTGGAAAATCGCTTGGCTACGAAAAGAAAACTCTTACAATATCTTACAATCCGACCTAGCTGCATCTAGCTGCATCTAGCGGCATCTAGCTGCATCTAGCTAGCTTACGCCTTGGCATCCTCAGCAGCCATGTGCTTGATCAGGTCCACCACACGGGAGGAGTAGCCCCACTCGTTGTCATACCAGCACACAACCTTCACGAAGGTAGGATCCAACATGATGCCGGCCTTGGCATCGAAGGTGCAGGAGATTGGGCAGGTCTCGAAGTCAGTGGACACCAATGCCTCGTCGGTGTAGCCAAGGAAGCCCTTCATGTCACCCTCAGATCGCTTCTTCATCTCAGCGCAAATCTCCTCGTAGGTGGTCTCCTGCTCCAACTCAACGGTGAGATCCACAACGGACACATCAATGGTTGGCACACGCAGGGCCATGCCGGTCAGCTTGCCCTTCACTTCAGGGATCACCTTGGCCACAGCCTTGGCAGCACCCGTGGAGGATGGGATGATGTTTCCAGGGCCAGCACGGCCACCACGCCAGTCCTTCTTGGAGGTGCCATCCACAGTGGGCTGAGATGCAGTCATGGCATGGCAGGTGGTCATGAGACCACGCTTGATGCCCCACTTCTCTTGCAGCACACGCACAGCTGGGGCCAAGCCGTTGGTGGTGCAGGAGGCGCAGGACACACACTCCATGGATGGCTTGTAGGTGTCCTCGTTCACACCCATCACAATGGTGTGAGAGTCATCCTTGGCAGGAGCAGAGAAGATCACCTTCTTTGCACCAGCCTTCAAGTGGCCCTGAACCTTCTCAGTGGTCAGGAACACACCAGTGGATTCGCAAACATACTCTGCACCATGCTCACCAAAAGGGATCTCAGCTGGATCACGGGTGTGGGACAAAGCAATCTTCTGGCCATCAACCACCAGGGAGTCGCCATCTGCCTCCACGGTTCCATCATACTTGCCGTGGATAGTGTCATATTTCATCATGTAGGCCAGGTAGTCAGAGTCATAGCTGGCGTTGATCAACTTCAGATCAGTCTCTGGGTCCTTCATGGCAATGCGGGCCACCTGACGGCCAATGCGGCCGAAGCCGTTGATTCCAACACCCACAGCCTGCATGGAAGTGCGGTTCTTGCCTGCACGCCTGCCAGCAACACCAGCCACAGCCAGGCCAGCCACTGCACCCACACCAGCCATGGCACCCATGGACTGGGAAGATTGGGAGGACTTGGCATAGCCGGAAGAACGGAGACCAGTCCTGGCCTCCTGTGCAACTGGGCCACTTGCAACAAAGGCGCTGCTCAGGGCAGTGGTGGCCACGGCACCGCTGACGAGCATAGCCACGTTCTCCACAGTGGAAGGCATGGTTTCTAAAGGGACAAGCGAGAAGAGTTTCAAAACTGAGCCAAGCACTTCAAGGAAGACAACATCAAAACCTTTCTTCAATCACATCATCTCAACTGCCAGGGTGTCTCCTTTCACTAAGTGTCATCAAATCTGGCTGCCCGCACCTTCACAGCTGCAAGTCACCATCAGGGTGGAACCTGGGGATATCAGGTCAAACTGACAAAAACATTATGACCGAAAGCTTGTATTTTATCACTACCCTCCAGTGTCATCAAACCTGGCTGGGAAATCCCTAAACTAAATGGAGGTTTAGTTCGCTGGGAAAATCATCTATGGGAAATGTTCCGTTGCCATGTTTGATTAGCGGAGAGTCATTCTCTTCAAAACTGCAATAGCTCCAAATAATCATCGCAACTTCACCATCAAAAGTAAAATGCTTAGTGGCTTTGGACCCATCGGGAAAAAAAAACTTTGAAACCCACAGTAACAAGAAATGTGTCAACTCTGGCGACCAAAATGGTACCCCCAAATGATCAACAGCCCAAGGTGTAACCCGGAAATAACCGGAAATCCAATCGTAGGATCATGTTGCATAACTCATTTAACTGGGGTTCAATTTTTGTTCGACAAGTCCCAATCCCCAAAGTGTTTTGTCGTTGTTTCAAAATAGGGAGATCTTCGTGCAATTGTCCCTTCAAAATGATAGAATCTCTGGCTAGTTACTAATTAAATGTGCTCTTTCCAAACTCTTTAAATGATAAAACCCATGTGTTTCCACGTCAAACCGTCCCAAACCGTCACGGAAGGAGACCGCCAGAGACCCCCCATGGTGCCACCAAGATGCAACTCGCACGTCCATGGCTACGCTGCGGCCCGGCTTGCCAGGCTCCTGGCGGTCGCCAAACTATTTCTGGTCAAATGGTGCGGAGATTGGGTCTATATGAGGGTTACATTGGTTTTCATTTGGGGTGATATAGGGGTTTCATGGGATTATGATGTGGATGTGCTTCAAAATCATAGGGATCATAGTCCGGATTCCCATTTTTGGTTTCTCATCATCCCTCTTAAACTAGTTGATGTAACGTGCACAACCAGGGATACATGTTTCGGACAAAATGTTGACCTCCAACAACAACCGATGGTCTATTTGAAACAAAAAGTAAGACCAAAAATTCTGGCTGGGGTCCATTGGTACCCTATGTTTGACCCGTAGCCACCATGGAGTTTGAGATGCGGGTTCCATAGACTTTATC